TCATTGGATGGAAGATCTTCCTCTCTGTCTCTCCTCCTCTCTGTATATCTGACTTTCCAATAAATAAAAATAAATCTTTAAAAAAAAGAGTCATTGGTATGTTTTAAGTATTTTATTTATGAGCATTCTAAAGTATCTTTACACTGAAAGTGAGGTATAGCTTTGCCTACCTAAGAGTATAAAATTGCAGGCATGATTCAGTACACATGTGCTGAAGCCATGTGGGTGCCAGGCTCTGCAGGTGGCAAGCCCTGCCGAGGAGAGCTAACAGGCCAGAGGGGGCACGGCTTGTCAGTGCCATGCTCAGTGTCACTGGTGTTTGCGTCTGTTTTCCAAATTAATAATGTATTTATTTACGACACTGTGTTCAGGATATTCTAGTGTGGAATATCTACCATAATCAGTAGAAAACAAAGTACTAACAAAATGTGTTCTTTCTTATAGCTTCAAAATAGAACATCTCATTTGCACTAGCAAATGAAAATTTAGCTGCTTAATAGCCACCTGTGATCTGCAGTTACCTTATTGGAAAATGCGGCCTTCCTCACTGCTGCATTCCCCGTCTCTCTGTTCTGACTCTGTGCCTTCATTCTTTGTATACTGTTGTTGTTAAATATTTATTTTGATATTTTGAATTTTATGGTACAATTTCATAGAGGTGGGTTTCGCCCCCCGCCCTGAACTCCCACGTCCCGACAACTTTTCCCTGCGTTGTGACAGTAGGAGTCATGATTCCATCAGTGCACCCCGACATTGCTGGTACAATATCAGACCATCATTGGGGTTCAGCTAGGAGGGTCACCTGAGTGTGGTGCAGAGGTGGCGTCAGTACTCGGGTCTGGAGTGGAAGGTGGAGAAGCTTCAGTGTGAAGGCAAGTGAATTCTGAGGAAGAGGCGATGCAGTGGCTCGACCAGCTAATCCTCTGCCTGCAAGCACTGGCATCTGAAGTAGGTGCAGGTTTCTGTCCCAGCGGCCCCGCTTCCCATCCAGCTCCCTGCCTGTGGCCTGGGAAAGCAGTCAGGGGGGCCCAAAGCCTTGGGACCCTGCACCTCATGGGAGGCCTGAAGGGTGCTCCTGGCTCCTGATTTTGGATCAGTGCAGCTCTGGGCACAGTGCCCCTTTGGGGAGTGAACCAGTGACCAAAAGATCTTTGTCTCTGTCTCTCCTTTTTGTAAATCTGCATTTCCAATAACAGAAATAAATACTTTAAAAATATACACAAGGAAAAACTGATTTAGAGATTGTTATTGTGAGGTGATACAGGAAGATTTGTATAGCAATTGCACAATGATTTAATAATTTGTGTGCTTGGATATTTTGTAACTTTTTAAGAACTTTTTAAAAAAATTTCAGGTATTTTGAAATCCTATATTCTTAAGTGAAAATTTTTCTTCCTTTCCATATTAGTGAACTTAATACTAGATCAATAGACATCTAGATAAACCTCATATACACGTCTTCATCAAGAGGAACTGTGTGGCGGAGACTAGCACACCAGGAAGGGAAGGTACATTGCAGTATGCATCTCTACTCCTGAAGACAGGATGGACTGCCATGAAGCTGTTAAATATATGTTGACAATAGGATACTGGGCTTTATTCCACTGTCTATGTGTCAAGATACCTAAATAGAAGAATGATGGACATGTGACTGTTGAAGAAATGTGCTAATGTAAAAATATAGGGGAAATCAGTGGGGGCTAGAGAGTGGGGAGGGTGGAAGAGGAAGTCCTTGAACCATCAGAACTATAGTATGAAAGATTAAAAAAAAATTAAATCGAATGACTTTTCAGTGAGTGGACTAAATTTTGAGAACTTTTAGAGTGAAGTATGTGTTTATACTTGGAACATTGGAAGTGGAAGACCCTGAAAACTGTGCACTTACAGTGGAGACTTTGTATCCCTTCTCTGTTTAAGCAGAGCCTGTCTGGAGTGTCTGTAAATGGTTTGCAGCTATTACAGAAAGGTTTGCAGTTCATCATCCACATTGCTTTCAGATTTTATTAGTTTTTTTTTTTAAGGTTTATTTATTTTTATTGGAACGGCAGATACACGGAGAGAAGGGTCTTTGCTGTTTCACTCCCTATGGAGCTGAGCTGGTCCAGCTGGAGCCTCTGGCTCTGCCCAGCCGGTGCAGGGTCCCTAGGCTTTGGACCTTTCTCTGCTGCTTTCCCCGGCTGCCGGCAGGGATCTGGAAGAAAAGTGGAGCATCCAGGGCACACACTGGCTGTTGGATCCTGACGGATGCCAGGAGGGCCACTGTGTCCATCCCCAGACTTTACGATGTTATAATGTGGAGAGTGGCCTTGTGTTCTTATTTCTACTGAATTCCGGAGTTGTGGTTTGATGTCTGTCATCCAGATACCTGCTTTGAGATGCTAACGTACGGTTTGGCAGAAGCTTTCTGCTTTGCATTTCAGTTGGAAATAGCTTTTGTTGGGCATGTAGAAGTTTATCATCTCTTCAGGGGTTACATAGGTTTTCAGTTCCTACCCCTTTTGTACCTCTGAGAGACCTCACGGGTAACTGCCTTGCCCTCGGCCCGGTGAATCAGGTGCATCCGTTGCTTATACTTTCTCTTGCTAGCACTGGAGATGTATTTTTACATGCTGAGTAAATTGAACTTTGTTGTTGAACTAATTCAGACGAAATAGTGAGATCCTAGTTTAGAAGCCGTTGAGGTGGTGAGGGAAGTCTTCGGCGGTCGCAGAGCTGCCATTTGACAGTGTGAGTACTTTGTGGCATTAATGGGTCGCCTGAGCTCCTTTTGCACTTTATAAATCCTTTATGAAACTTCAGAGACAATTCACTGGGAGAAGTAGGGATATCTACTATGAATGACTTTCTTTTTATTTTTAAGATTTATTTATTTATTTATTTGAAAAGCTGAGATAGGGGCAGAAAAAGGCCTTCCATCCACTGGTCCCCAGACGGCCGTGCCAACCAGTGCTGGGCTAGGCTGAAGCCAGGGCTGCTTTGGGATCTCCCACGTGGGTGGCAGCGGCCCAAACGCTGGGGCCGTCTTTCGCTGCTTTTCCCAGGCCACTAGCAGGGAGCTGGATTCCAAGTGGAAGAGCTGGGAAATGCACCGGTGCCAATGTGGGATGCTAGCGTGGCAGCCAGTAGCTTCCCCTGCTCTCCCGTGATGCTGGCCTGTAGGTGTGCAATCATCTGAAGAAGGCCTTGCTGTTACTGACTGTGGGTCTTTGGAGGAACTCGGTCGTCTGTGCTTTTGCTTACATACTCCTGGTGCCTGTGTGTGTACCGCGTGCTCACTGCTGGGAATTGTCTTCACGTGGCGTTAATGATTGTGTTTAATCTGTGCTTCTCTGTCCCTCTTTGCCATGCTTACTTTTACCTTAAAATGAGATATGACTTTTAAAAACACAGAATTTGCAGTGCTGTATTTTCTTTTGATTGACAGTATAATTTTTGTAAAAACAAAATGCCTTTCACGACTTTTTTTTTAAGCACCTTCAGGGCTGCTTCCTGGCAGTGGCGTGGCTGAGCTCTGCGTTAGTCTCTCAGATGGCTCGTGTGGCTGCTGTCTTTTGCTTGGGAGCCTGTCCAAAAGTGTTAGCTCCAAGTACCTGCCGTGTGTCTGCAGTGGATTCAGTGTGGGCTCAGTGCTGGGGTGAGTGCCAGCTCCTTGGTGAGAGCTGGGATTTTCATAAGCAGTCCAGTTATAGCCCTGTGCCAGTCAGGCTTGGAGTTATTAATTTATATCATAAGTAATGTTATAACAAAAATCATTATATGTATATTTTAACACACAGCGTACACAACATTTTCCACTTTCTAAGGAAGAGAACTTTGAATCTCTGGCCTCCGTTACTTCGTATCCCCTAGCTGTATTTATGTGGATGATTTTGAGTTAATGTCCTTTTCTCTCTTGGTGTCATGACTAAAAAATACTCCTATGAATAAGAAAAATGTAAAAACCCTTGGCTAATTTATAATCTGCACAATTTGAGATGACACAGCGCAGAAACGAAATGTCCTGGAAGAGCCATTACCTTAAGCAGTTGAAGTCTGTATGATTTTACCACACATTCTTCCATTTAATATGAACAGTCTCAGACAGTTAATGCAGTGGAAAGACTAATGAACACCTGCTGGCCACCGTCCAGGAAGGAAGCCGGAGTGTCAGTGCTCCCTGGGGCCGGAGCTGTTCTAGATGCAGGTCTGACCGCAGACCCTCTCCTGGCACTGTCAAGTTTGGATCCTCGTGGTGGTTGGAACGCTCTGGGCCAGGGCCATCCTGCTGAGCTTGCTGCAGTGCCCTGCCCCTGTGCCTGCGTTGCCTGGCATGCCCAGACAGTCGCGCAGGATTCCTCTTCCTTTGGTCTTGGTGAGCCTGTCGGCGTCACCCATCCATCAGAGTCACGCTGAGTAACTCCTGCTCTCCGTACTCTGTAATGAAGCGTCCTATGTCTCGTTACGGTTTTTCTGCACATGTCTGTGTCTTCTGTGTAAATACTGTTGTAGTTTTGTCGTGAGAATGTTGTTGACCAAGTTCTGTGTTATGGCCATAAACGTGTCTACGCTTAAGTAACCTGAGGTATTTATGATGTGTTAGGTCCTAAGGAGAAGTCAAACTTTCTGTTAATAGATAGGAATGGGCCTGGCCTGGTAGCCTAGTCGTTAAAGACCTTGCCTTGCAAGTAGCGAGATGTCATATTGGCATTGGTTCGTGTCCCAGCAGCTCCACTTCCCATCCAGCTCCATGCCTGTGGCCTAGGAAAGCAGTCAGGACGCCCAGAGCCTTGGGACCCTGCACGCGCGTGGGAGACTCAGCAGAAGCTTCTGGCTTTGGATCAGCTCCGCTCTGTCTGTTGGCAGCTACTTGGGGAGTGAGCTAGCAGATGGAAGAGCTTTAAAAAAATTGGCGTATTCATTAATTGTTTTTGTCATTTTTTTCCACATTGTCTTACTTTGCATATTTCAGTAGTACAATTTAAAAATATTAAAGTACTGTTTCTTTTTGTTTTATCTTTTAGATAATCCTATATGGAGATTTGCCAAAAAATAAAGAAAATATAATATATTTAGCAAATCACCGAAGCACAGGTTTGTATGACTTTTAGGTTTTTCTACAAATGGTACATGGACATTCAAAACAATGTCCTTATCCGGTTAAATAAGGCAGATTGTTAAATCATGACATTTGGTGTGCAGATGTTCTGCCTGTCCTCTTTGTTTGTATTTTTTGTGGTTTTGCTTTTTGAAAGCCGTGCGTTGTTCTGAGCTCCTTCCGGTGGCGGTAAGCTGCATCCCTCCATTTTCCCTGTCTCTTTGAACACCTTTCACTATCTATTGGCTGTTTTTCTGAATTACATTGTTACAAGTAGAATCGTTGAGTCAGAACAGGAAACGGGCAGATGCTAAGCATCACTGCATAGCTCTCAGAAAATGTCAGCAGAGACCACCAGGGACTACTTACTGTTGGGTTATGGCTTTGACTTTGCCCCTCTTGGCCTGCCCGGGTACAGCTCAGAAGACCTGGCGTGTTGACTGGTGTCTCCGCTGCCTTGTTTTTGCATGACAGTTTGTTGTGCTGGCATTCTGTTTCCGTTAACTTACTTCCCTGCAGAGTTGGCAGTGGTGCTGTGGGTGTTTGTGCTCTGCATTGTCCTCCGCTGCCTCCTTTGACACTGCTTACGTTATGTCTCTTGTGAAATGCTCCCTTTTCTTGCTTTAGATGGCAGGTGTGTCAGCTGACAGTGTGTGACACGAAAAGGCATGACTTTGGCGTTCATGGCTCTCGTGCAGTGGGCTGTGTGGCACTGGGCACACCGCTCAGACTCTCCCAGCCTCAAGTGCTGATCGGAGTACTCCGTTCTCCCCGCGGAGGGGCTGGCTCCTGGGTGGCAGTTAGCATCACAACAGCTAAACCTTGGCATGGCGCTGGATCTGTGGTAGTCGGTGCTTCCGGTGGTGCACTGTCTCTTTTAGACTACACACTGCCTGTCTGAATTAGAACTCCTGACGTAGTGATGCAGATGAGAGCTTGCTGCCGTTCCTCCATGCCCTCTGCTCCTGTCTTCTGCAAAGCTAATGGTAACAGTGGCTTGGACTACATCACCATGGAAGAATTCCTACACAGCCACGCATATTGGTATCTTATGATTTTTAAAAAATATTTATTATTTGAAGGATAAGTAACACAGAGACAGAGAGACTGCCCACCTCTTGGCTTGCTTCCCATATGGCCACAAAAGCAGGGCTGGGCCGGGAGCTGCCCAGTGCTCCGTCCGGGTCTCCCACGTGGACGGTAAGCAGAGCAATCGTGTCAGGAGCCAGCACTTTGCATGGGGTGCTAGCACTGCAGGCAGCATCTTAGCATGCTGTGCCGCATGCTGACCGCTTAGGAATACTTGTAATGATAACGCACAAGGGTGCTCAAAAAGTTTGGGTAAAATGAAATTAAAAGGTTAGTTTCTTTTAATAGAAAAAACAGAAAAAAAAACCAGAAAACTTTATTTCAATGTAGTAACTTTGAAATTTCGCTGATGTGAGATCTTCACAGATTTTGTGAAAGACACTCATTTCCTTAAAGCACAGATTTCAAACTTTATGCATCAAAATAAACATTTTTCAATTCCGTTTTTTCATGAACTATTGTATGCTTAGTTACCCTGGCCTCTGTCTGTGATGAGCTGTCGTCCAGTGTCACCATTCCTCAGTCTGGCTAGGAAGGGTAATTTACTGCGTGTAGTGGTGGCACAAAGCTTGTGCCTTTTGACTGGTTATGTACTTAACTGTTCCCATGAAAAACTCAAGTTTGAGACCACAGACCAGGATAGTTTATTATAAACATGGTGTACTTTGAAAATGTAACATGTTTTTATGAAAGTTCTTAGAAGATAAATACAAGACCATAATATAACCATACTTGTTTTAATATAAAAATACATTTATACATTTATAAATACATTTATACATTATAAAATACATTTATATCTGAGTGGCAGTTGTGGTGGGAAATGGTGCCACTTCTGCTTCTTAGCACTGCGTCTCTATCCGTGATGCTGCAGCTTGTGTCTTGGCTTTCACGTACAAAGCTGGGGGAAATGTCCTTAGAATGTATTCTCCATCTGTTTACTTTGCATTGGGTGTGCTTGTAACAGGCTTGGCTATGTGGGTTCCAGATTGAAAGAGGTATGTTTATCCGATAACTATATCTGATCTAAGTTACTGATCCAAGAGAGAGGTGGCTAAGGAGAGGCTTTTATGGGAAAGGAAGTTGCATACTGTATAGAAGCCATCATTGCTAGCCCAGTAGTGTGCACAGCATCACAGCCAGAGCCGCCAGCGCTGACTGACTACGGGAGCGTCCGTGGGCGTCACTCTGCTCGTTGAAAGCCGTAGAAAATCCAGGTGTGAGTAACTGCCTGTCCTGAATCGTGGGGAGGAAGTCAGTTTGTGAATGGTAACCCCTGATTAGAAATCAGTTTATAACACCTGATGTTTTTCTTGGGGTTGATGCCGCGTGCTTAAGCGGCTGTGTCTTTGGGGTGTCCAGTGTAGCACGTTGTCTGAAGCACGTGACTGAGCTAACCACGGTCTGGGGGACTCTCCATCCCTGGTTTCTGTTTCTCACAGTAGATGTGTTTTTAATTTTACTTTTTATTGTTATCATTTTATGATACAGTCCCATAGATCGTGGGATTTCCCTTATCCCCTCCCCCCCTGAGTTCCCTGTATCATTACTAGACTATAGTTATCTCACAGTATTTTTAAAAAATGTTAACTTATTGATTTGAAAGGTAGAGTTACAGAGAGAGAAATCTATGCAGGGCTCGTTCCCCAGTGGCTGCAGTGACGGGCTGACCCAGAGCGAGTGCTGGAGCTCCTGTCTCCCGTGTGCGTGAGCTGTCTTACGCTGCTCTCAGAGGCCTTAGCAGCATGTTGGATCGCAAGTGAAGTTACAGGGACTCACATTGGCTCCTGCGCGGGACGCTGGCTTGACCCACTGCACAACAGTGTTGGTCCTGTCCCTCCAGTGTCTGACTTATTGTAGTTGTTGTAATTTCTGTGGCCCTGTATACATTTCCACTTTTATTTTTTTTTTTTTTAAGATTTACTTATTTATTTTTTATTGGAAAGGCAGAGCCAATCTGCTGTCAGGAGCCACAAGCTTCTTCCATGAGGGTACAGCAGGGTCCCAAGGCTTTGGGCCGTCCTCCACTGCTTCCCCAGGCCACAAGCAGGGAGCTGGATGGGAGGTGAAGTCTCCAGTACACAGATCAGCGCCCATATGAGATCCTGGTGCATGCAAGGCGAGGACGTTAACTGCTAGGCTACCGCGCCGGGCCCTACACTTATACCTCTGTATAAGGATTGCTTTTCTCTAAAAAAAAAATTAGCAATTTTCTTTTCAAGTTCCCCATCCTTGGGTTCATCTGTAAATACTATACTACATCTCATTTTTATACTTCCCCACCAAGAGATAGAATAATGCAAGTCCCTCTGATTCTGAAGGCATTATCTTTATTTTAGGCTCTGAATGGTTTACTGCAAATTTTCTGTCATGGCTTTCGTGAGAACCACTCCTGTTTGGAATTTCTGTTTGACAGCTCAGCTGTCAATTTTTCTAGAAAGTTCTGCATTGCTACTGCTAACTAATTCATACGTTATGAATCTTGGTAATTGTCGTGAGCACCCTGGGACTGTGTCTCGGTTCTCCTGTCCCTTGCACAGCCGCAGGCCCTGTGAGACCTTCGAATCCCTGTTACTGCACCCTGAAGCATCCTTCGCTTTGGTTGTACAGTCACGAATTTTAATTGTACTTGTCAATAGCATGGAGCTGCGATTTTTTGTATGTCTTTTTTTTTTTCTCATGAAAAATCATGTTTTCTATACTGGAAAGTTAAAGAAGCGCATTTTATCCCTTGTATATATTAGATTGTTTTGGGATTTTGTAAATTTTATGCATTACCTTTGAAATAAATGGCTTTTCAGAAAATGAAAAACAAAACACAGCCTCATGGAATTTATGTGTCTTCGTCACGTAGGATTGATTCCTTAGTGTGTTCAAAGCAGACCCTGTGGTGTGGTGGCCTGCTCTGTGATGGCCTGCCGGGCGGCATGGGCTGTGCGCTGACTGGGTTCTGTTTCTGCAGTTGACTGGATCATTGCTGACATGCTGGCCATCAGGCAGAACGCTCTTGGACATGTGCGGTATGTGCTCAAAGATGGCTTGAAATGGCTTCCACTGTATGGGTGCTACTTGTCTCAGGTAACGTTCCCTTCTTATAGTCTATAAAAATTTTTTTAAAGGTTTCTTCAACTATTTGAGAAAGAAATAGAGAGGAAGAGAAAAAAAGTCTTCTGTCTGCTAATTGCTCCCTACTGGCCACAGTAGCTTTATCTGGGTTGGTCCAAAGCCAGGAGCCAGAAGCTCTGTCCTGGTCTCCCACATGGGTGTGCTAGGAGCCATCTTCCCTTGTCTTCCTGGGTGCTCTAGCAGGAAGCTGCATTCGAAGCCGGACAGCAGAAATGGTGCTCAGAGTGGTGTGCTGGTGCCACAAGCAATAGCTAAGCCATGGTACCACAGTGCTGACCCCCAAGTTTGTATTTTTGAGAAAGATCTATTTATTTATTTGGAAGGCAGAGTGATGGATGGAACTCTTCATCTGTTGGATTACTACGCAGATAGCTACAGGAGCTAAGACTGAGCTGGGCTGAGGCATGGGGGGCCGGGAACTGCAGCTAGGACTGAGCTGGGCTGAGGCGTGGGGGGGCCGGGAACTGCAGCTAGGACTGAGCCGGACTGAGGCGTGAGGGGCTGGGAACTACAGCCAGGACTGAGCCGGGCTGAGGCATGGGGGGCCGGGAACTGCAGCTAGGACTGAGCCGGGCTGAGGCCAGGGCCATGAGCTCCATCTAGTACCTCCCACATGAGTGACATTGACCTTGGTTACTTGTGCCATCTCCCACTCTTAAATTGAAGGCAAACTAGTACTGGAATTCAGGATATGGATATTGCAAATTGTGGCTCAACATGTTGAAATGTAACATACTTATCTAAGAATATGGATTTTTAATGGATCTAATATTTTAGATTCTCTTTTAGACATTGCAGAGAGAGAGTGCACGCATACGTGCACAAGCTCCTATTTGCTGAGTCACTGCTCAGATGCCTTCATCATTTGCTGAGTCACTGCTCAGATGCCTTCAGCTGCTGAGTGGGCAACCTGAATTCAGGAGCTGTAACTCAGTCCAGGTCTCCTGGTCCTTTTCGCCATCAACACTGGACTTGGGGTACACATGAACAAGAAGCTGGTGTTAGGAGCAGCCAGAGTCAGGAATTGAACCAGCAGGACGACAGGAGTGTCCCAATGGTGATCATTAGGCCGATTGCTCACCCCTTGTTTCCTATTGTTAATGATATGTATCTATACTCAGACATGTTTAGTTAACCATGTAGTTAAACAAAATAACAAATGCAAGTGTACAATAGGTTTTTTTTTTAAATTAGGAAACCTAGGGTATAGAATTCAGTGAACACTACCTTACAACTCTAATGGTAAAATTAGTGATCTGTAGGATATGAAAAAGTGGCAAGCTGTAAATTTAGTGTTCAGCGTGAGAGAACTTTTCTCGCGGTGTGGAGAAGGCAGTACAGGGTCACAGTGTGTCAGTCCTGGTTCTTCCCGAGGGCTGTCTCCCGTGGACGAGGCCTGTATCCTCACACGGCTCTTTGCTTCCTTTTCTTTCTCTTTCCTCTCTCTCTCCTTCCCTTCCTTCCGTCTTTCTTCAGATTTATTTATTGGAGAGGAGGAGAGACAGAGAGAAACATCTTCCATCTGCTAATTCACTCCCCATGTGACCACAACGGCCAGAGCTGAGCTGATCTGAAGCTAGGAGCCAGGAGCTTCTCCCAGGTCTCTCAGACTGGTGCAGGGTCCCCAGGCTTTGGGCTATCTTCTACTGCTTTCCCACGCAACCAGCAGGTAGCTGGAAGGGAAGGAAAGTGGGGCATGCAGGACACAAACTGGCATCCATATGGTGTCCTGGCGGATGCAAGGTGAGGATTTAGCCACTAGGCCATTACAATGGGCCCACACAGTCTTTTTTTTTTTTTTTTTAAAGATTTATTTTTATTATTTTTTCATTGGAAAGGCGGATATACAGAGAGGAGAGACAGAGAGGAAGATCTTTTGTCCATTGATTCACTCCCCAAGTGAGCGCAACAGGTCGATACTATGCCGATCCGAAGCCAGGAGCCTCTTCCGGGTCTCCCACGTGGGTGCAGGGTCCCAAAGCTTTGGGCCGTCCTCGACTGCCTTCCCAGGCCACAGGCAGGGAGCTGGAAGGGAAGCGGGGCTGCCGGGATTAGAACCGGCGCCCATATGGGATCCCGGGCGTGCAAGGCGAGGACCTTTAACCACTTGCGCCACCGTGCCGGGCCCAAGAAGCACAGTCTTTTCTTAAAAGGACACCAGTCACATTGAGTTGGGGACCTCCTCTATGACTGTTTTGCCTTGGTGATGTCCTTAAATCCCACTAAATACAGTCACGGAGAAAACAGGGTTTAGCGTATGGGAGACACGCTGTAGTACTACATAAATGCTCAGAGCTGGGTTGGTGATGAGTATTGATATTTTAAGGACCTTGAAAATGATTATAATAATGGAAGATTGGGAGCTAAAAATCCATCTGATCAAGTTTTTGATAAAATATTTGTAAGAAGAACATTTTCAGTTGCTAGCAAAGCTAACTGCTGCATTGAGTTTTGTGGTAGAGTGGTTAAGCTCTGCTTGAGACACCTGCCTGGGTTCAAGATCTGTCTGTTTCTGAGCCAGCTTCCTGTAGTGTATACCTTGGAGGCACAGGTGCTGGCTCAGGTGGGTCGAGTTCCTGGCTCCAGCTTGAGTGTAGGCTGGTCCTGGCTATTGAAAGCCTATGGGGAATGAACCAGCAGATCTCTTTCTCTCTCTATTGAAATAAATGGAATTAAGTAAAGATTTTTAAGAAGCTAAATTTCATATTTCTTTTAATTACTGTGACATGCTGTTTTAATCATTTGAAACAATTTGTGGGTTAGATACTAATGTTTGAATGTGTTAAATGTAATTTAAGTTCTGAAATGGAGTTTACTCTTACTCTTTTGGAATAAAGTTGTGTTTTGAATTACTATCACCATTGGTTATTTTGAAAGTAAATGCTTTTTCTCCCTGCTTTTTGTGTGTGCCAGCATGGAGGAATCTATGTAAAGCGAAGTGCCAAATTCAACGAGAAAGAGATGAGAAGCAAGCTGCAGAGCCACGTGGCTGCAGGAACTCCAGTAAGACCTTGCACTCTTGCTGTTCCTTGTTGAGTCTGATTGCACAGTCCTTCCTCCATGGCTGGGTGGTGTTTGAGGGCAGCAGTGCGCCCGGAAGAGAGGTGTGTCGATGCAGGAGAGGCTGCTTGGTCCCTTCCCAGTGCTATCAACACTGACTCTCCAAAGGACGAAGAGAACACTTGTGTCGACCTGCACTTGTAACCCTGCACTTCAGCTGCTTCGGGTTAGCTGGGTCTTCAGTATCAGATTTAGTTTTCAAAGAAACAGCTTTTCTCTTTGTATAAATGTGGATTTCTTGCGTGGGTATATCTGAGAAAACAAAGGAGAATCATTCACTGTGAATATTGGCCTTGTTCCGCCCACCCCAGCCCTGAAAAGGAGTCTCAGTGTCATGCATGGAGAGCTGTTGCTGCCGGACAGCTCTCCCAGGACTCCCTAGGAGAGCCCGGACCAGAGCAGCTTGGCTTCTCTCGTGGAGGACAGGCCAAGCACTCAGATCCTTAGCTCAAGTTCACCTGTCCTTTGCTTTCCCTGCTTGTCTTTGCCTTCCTCCTGCCTTCCCTTTCCCCGGGCAGCTCGGTGGCAGCCAGAACTCATACTGGAAGAAGAGCAAACATTGGTTCTCACAGTGTTACATTGGGAAGCCCTTCTCTTAGGGCAGACAGACACACGGACAGGATCTCTTCAGTCTGTGACAGTGTGGTGAATTGTGGCAGAAATGGGCATCATTGTTGAAAGGTAGCTGGTATGTGTGTAATCACTTGTTGAACAATTCAAAATCCAAAAACATGAATGTGCATGTTATTGCATCCGTCCCCTTGCTTCACCAGCTGTCCACCACGGGATGTGCGGCGGAGTAGGTCCTGGGTGGTGCTGTGAATCTGAAAGCAGAAGTGTAGCCCTGAGTCTGTGGTCTGTCCAGTCTCCTCCCCTTGGCGTTGTGTCCCCAGAAAATGCAGTTGTCAGTAGCCCTGCCCTGTGTGTTGTGGGGCGTTTTCTCTCTGGGTTCCTTTGTTTTTTTGTTTGTTATTTGTTGTCTGTGTTTTGTTTTAAAGATTTATTTTTATTGCAAAGTCAGAAATATAGAGAGGTGGAGACACAGAGGAAGATCTTCCGTCCATTGATTCACTTCCCAAGTGGCCACAATGCCTGGAGCTGCACTGATCTAATGCCAGGAGCCAGGAACTTCCTTCAGGTCTCCCACGCAGGTGCAGGTTCCCAAGGCTTTGGACCTTCCTCCACTGCTTTTCCAGGCCACAAGCAGGGAGCTGAATGGGAAGCGGGGCCACCAGGATTAGAACCAACATCCATATGGGGTCCTAGTGTGTACAGGGGGAGACTGCTAGGCTACCACACTGAGGCCTGTTTACATCTGTTTGATAATTCTATGTTGAGTGTCTTTTTTTAAAAAATTCCCATTGATCTTCAGAGTGGGTCTGTGGTTTGTCTTCTGTGATTAACTTGGAGCTGTTTCTAACCTTGTGTTTTCTTTCACCTCTCCAAGTGCTGATGCAGAGAGCCGTTCGCTGCAGCTCCACTCTGCTGGGCGTTTGCTCTCTTATCCCCCTCTTCTGCTCTTTGTGTTAAACTCGGCCGTTTCTGTGGGCGTGTCTTCCAAATTCAGTGATTGCCCTTTGACTGTACAAGAGTCTGCTAAAGCGGCTTTTTTTCCTTATAAATTTTATTTTTGGTGATGTTTACATAGTTGATTAGAGTGGGAATGGTCAAGGATTAGGGGAAAGTAGGTGAGACCATTGTTTCTAAAATTTTCTTTTTGTTCTTCTGTGTCTGGAGGACGTGGGGAGAAAAGGGGAGAAGCCACACCCAGCCTCCCAACCACCTCTGCTCCTGAGTTAGGGAATGGCCCCCCACTGTCACCCCGGGTCCCCGATGTGGAGCATGCTCCATGGGTTCTGCTCAGGCGGTTTTGAGAGTTCTGAAATGTTGTCAGTCTCACTGATCCAAGGGTGAGGAAATTCTTCCAGGGTTCATTGGCTGCCTTAGTCCACCTTGGAGTGTCCATTTGCCCAAACATGTGCTGTCAGTGCTTGGCTTGGGTAGTGAACCAATTTGTTCTGCCCTCCTTCCCCTGCTGTGGTACCAGATGTCCTCTGTAGGCCCCAATGGACTGCCATATTCTCCATGTGCATAGGGCATTCAATCCACTGTTCCGTCTTAGCCACTGAGGCCCAGGTCTGACTCATGCACTCCATGTTCAGACCAGAGATCCTACAGTTCTCCCCGTGGGGGGATTCCCAAGGAAACCTTTTCTGACGTGATCCCAGACCTGACTAGTGTGTAGTTGTTGGTGTCATCTCCTGCTCAGTCCGTCACCCCATCAGCCTATGCACACATTGGTAGTTGGCAATTGCTGGGTCAGTTGTGTCTCAAGCCCCGTCTCTTGCATACACTAATGGGTGCTATGGCGTAGCCCAACCCTGCCCATCACACACGCAGCCCTCACACACACCAGTGGGAACTGCAGCCTATTCTGAGCAATCAGCAGTTATCCTGATATAACTCCAACCAAGCCTACCCCCAGTCCTGGTTCCTGTGCTTGCCAGTATGTGCAGCAGACTGGTCTAGTCTGTCCCACATCCCATTCAGCTCCCTTATACATCAATGGGCATTGAAGCCTAGCTCAACCAGCTGACCCCACTATCCAGCCTACACTCATGCCTCCAGGTGCCACCACCTGTCTAGCCAGGCCTGCCTCAGTCCCTGGTTCTCATGTTCACCAGTGGGAGTTGCAGCCCATCAGAGAGGGGCCTACAGTTTCCCTGTTGGACACAGTTGAACTTGCACTTTTCAGCTGGTTCTGCAGTCTAGGTTGACAGGACTTGCCCCTAGTCCCAGCACTTGGCAGTTGATGCTGTGGCAAGACAACTAACATGAACTTATTGTGACTCATGCGTGCACCGGTGGATACAGCTGGTCAGCCCAGCCTGTCTTTCCCCCAACCCAGTTCACATGCAAGTTAACAAGAGTTATGGCCTTGTGTGGCCTGCTCTGTACCAGTCCCTGTTCCAATTCTCAGTCTCACCTGTGGGGACATTGGCCTACCAGGAGAGTCCTTGGCAGCCCCCCCGAACTCTGTTCAGCCCATGATGTGCTGGTGGATGCTGCGACCCAGTCTGGCATGGTATGCCTCACCTTGACATTTGCTGACGAGTACTATAGCCTGGTGCGGCTGGATCTGCCTCTAGTTCCAGCTCATGCTGGTAGGTGCTACAGCCCAGCCCAGTACAGCCAGCCCCAGGTCCCGGTCTTAATGTGAACTGGCTGGTGTTGATGCCTGATCTGGGCTCTCCTGCACCTTGTCCTCAGGTCTGTCAGTGGGTGTTATAAGCTGGTCCAGCCTTTCCTGACCTCAGACCTGAGCCCCATGTGTGACCGAGAGTATTATAACCTGACCTGGTCTGGACTACTGTCAGCATTGGTTCTTGCATTCCCCAGCAAGGACTGTGTCCTGACAGAGGGGTTCCCCAAGCTCCTCTATTAGTTCTCCCTGTGGCAGATCTTGCATGCACAGTGAGTCCTTGTCCCAGAGTGAGTTAATACACCTCCTGTTCTACCTGGAACAGTGGACCTGCCCACCTGGCCCACACCCGTTCTGATTCTCACTGTTGGGTGCTACACTGCAGCCACACCCGATCTATACCCAGACTACCTCTCACATGGTTCATCAGGTGCTGAGACCTTGTCCAGCCTGTCCTGCACCCACCCTGGCTCTTATGAGTACCAGTGCAGGCTAGAATCTAGAGCATGTGGCACACCCCAGACCCAGTGCACTTCCATACTGAGTGACACTGCAGTCATGTCCAGCCCAGATAGTTGCCCCCCCATTCTAGTGCTTCTGCTCACGAATGGGAACCACAACCCACTTGAGGCATCCCAGCATCCCCTTAACTCTTCAGCTAGGCCTGTTTCCAGTGCCAGAACTTGCATGTGGCAGTGTTTGCTGTGACGTAGCTCAGTACAGCCCCAGGTCCAGTAACTAGTGTTCATGCCCTGTCTTGGCCTTTGCCATCGGGTGCTGTAACCTGTCCTGTCATAGCCCGCCCCCAGTCCCAGCTCTCACTGCGGGGTGCTGCAGCACAGCACTACCCAGCTTGCTCACATCCTTGGCTCATGTAAACCAGTTGGTGTGATAGCCTAGCCTGGCATGAGTCGCACTCCAGCCTGGCTGCTGTACATGCTAGTGGGCTGAGGTTGGCTTAGCCCTGCTCCATCTACCCCCCTCCAGAACCAACCCGCACACGTGCTGATGGGTGGAGCTTCCTTGCTGGGGCCGACCAACACCCAGGCCTGATGACATGCTCACATGCAGGAGCCACTTCCCACAGCGGGGTTTCCACTCCCAGACCCAGATCTCACAAGTGTCAGAGGTGCTAGGCCTTTACCTGTGGAGGCCTGCCCCTCTGTCCTGGCCTTTGTATGAGCTGGTGGATGTTGTATCCCAGACTGCCTGGTACACCATTCTTGGGTGCACCTGTCAGTACTGCAGCCTGGAACAGCCTGGCCTGTTTTGTACTGCAGTACTCAAGAATGTAAAACTGCTTATTTCTGTGGTTTTTTTTTTTTTCATTCCTAGCCATATTCCTTTAATTCTGTTTCCGTTGGTGTGAGTTTATGCCTAAAGATTGTCAGTGCTCCTTTCCACTGGGACTTTATCATGTCAGTAGTGATTGTAAATGCCTTGCCTGCTCAGTCCCGTCTGTGCTGCATCTGAATCTGATGTTTTTGGTCTTTGCCCCTTCAGGTGCTGATTTGTCTTTTCTGTGTTCTCCAAGATTTTGTTGTGAATTGAGTGTTTTGTGTCGTTCAGGATAAATGACCCGATTGCACTGATACCAGCAATGGGGGTCAATGTCTTTTTGTGAGGCCTTGCTCCCTGAGCTGGAGTCATGCAGGAGTGTCACTGGACTTGTGGTTTGCTCTAAAATTCTCACAGCAACTAGTGTTCGTGACCTTGTGTGTTGGGATGGGTCATTGCTGCAGTGTCCCTCCCTGTGTGCCCACAGTGCTGGCCACTTCCCGCCTCCTGGCCTCTCTCTTGGGCTGGTCCTGAACTCTGCTGAGTTGGGTGCTGCAGCACGAGAAGCCCCTCGGGACAGAGCCGCCTGACCCTGCCTGGCATCCCCTCCCTGGCCGGCGTTTTGTCCGTTGTCCTCCCCTAGCCTCTTGGGGTTTTTATCTGTGTCCAAAGGATGGGAAGCAGCTTGAGGCTGTCCCCAGGAAAGATCGAGGGGAGGGCCTAGCTAGTCTTCCCCTGATCTTGATGTTTTCATTTTCTCCTGTGCGTCCTGGTGAGTCTGTAGATCCTAGCCCTTGGTTGGGAATTCTTCCTGTGTGTGTAGGCTTCTTGACAAACTGTTCATTTTAGCTCATTTCCTTCATCGGTGTCTGTTAGCATTTGCCTCAAGGAAACAAGTGTTGCAGCTTCTCTCTCCTCCTTCCCCTTTCCTAGCATTTTTTAATTGGGTGGTTATCTTAGAACCTTTCAGAGAAAACTTCATTCTCAGTGTTGTTACTGGATTGAGATCTGTACTTGCATGACTCTACAAATAAAGCTTCCTCTTTTTTGTTAATAAATTTAAAGCTTGGAATGATTCTAGTTTTCTGAAAATTCTGCAAGAAAAGTGCCGAAAGTTCCCATCTATGCTTGGCCTAAGCCTGGTGGTAGCATCCAGCGTTGACCTCTTTCGTAGCCCCGGCGCCGTTGTCAGGGCTAAGAATTCAAGACTGGGACTGTGCAACTTAGCTACAAACGTCATTTAGGGTTAGTCAGTTTTTCCCTGAAACTTTTCTGTTCCGAGCAACAATCCAGTGTGCCAAAAATCCATTTGAACTTCCGTTGTTTTAATCCTTTGGTCTTTGCCCTTTGTGATTGTATGTTGCCATTGTATGAAGTGAAGTATTTTTTTGTTAAATCTGTTTTTTTTTTTAAAGCTCCAAGATTCTTTGTTTCTTTAAGAATTGAAAGCTTGATTTAAAGGACGTGTTTTATTGTTTTAGTATCTGAAATACTGTTTGTGCTATATTCTGCAAGTTCTTGCTCATGTGCTTGATTATATTTGCTTGCTGCTTGTTGTATTTGGGGAGTTTTCTCTGGTAATCCACTGATTTGGGGTGGAAGTCCCTTCCTGCAGAGAATGTGCAAGCCGAGGTGGCTCTCGTGGCTCCTCTGTTTGGCCCCCCACGCCCGGTGTGAGCTGGAGGTTAGATGCGACTCAGGCTGTGCGCCCACAGTGCGGAAACCCGGCCTCTGGCTCACTTCCGGTTGGCTTTTACCCCCACAGTGTCGCTCAACGTTTTCTTGCACTTCCAGTTTTCTCTAACTTTCCATAGAAGGTCCATAGCTTAGATTTCTCTTTTTTAAAAAAATTATTTTACTCATTTGGCAGGCGGAGGGGCAGAAAGACAAGGAAAGAGATCAGAGATCTTTCCAACTGCTGGTTCACTTCCCAAGTGGTCGTGACTCTTGGGTCTTGGGCTTGGACAAAGCTCGGAGCCAAAACTCCATCCAAGTCTGTCCTATGGGTGATGGGGGCCCACGCACACGAGGCACCCCTGTCCTCCCAAGCGTAGTAACAGGGAGCTGCATTGGCAGCAAAGCAGCTGGAACTCCAACCAGCAATCCAGCAGTGGATGCCAGTGTCGCAAAAGCAGCTTAACCCACTGCACCGCAACACCAGGCTCCCCTTTCCGTCCCCGGAGTCATTTCTGTTCTCACTTTTGAAGTTCCTTAAAACAAAGTGGTGTTCTCTACCTGCTTCTGCTTTGCGCTTTGCCTGATTTTAGTCTTGTGACCTTGTCAGCTCTGTGATAACTTTTTTTTTCAGTAGGGTTATTTTATTTATTTGGAAGGCTTTCTGTTGGCTCAGTGTCTAAATGGCCTCAGTGGCTGGGCAGGGCCAGGCTGAAGCTAAGAGCCCAGAGCTCAGCCTGGCTCTGCCCCCTGCGTGACAGGGACCCAGGTATTTAGACCATTGTCTGTTGCTTTCCCAGGAATATTAGCAGGGAGCTGGTCGTGGAGTAGCCAGGACCAGAGCCGGCGTTGCAAGTGGTTTGTGGTTTGACCTGACGGCACTCTTCTTTTTACACAGCTGTTTGTGTCCCCCTGTTGAAAGGCAGAAAGCAAGGTCTCCCATGTACTGGTTCACCTTCCAGATGCCTGCGCCAGCTGGGACTCGGGGAGGTCAGAGCTAGGGGCGGGGGCTCTGTGCAGTAACACAAATCTATGTGTTGGTGTTACGTGTGCCCCAGCCCTTCCTTGAAGCGCCTTTGCTCCTTGTGCTTGAGCAGGGTTTCGTTTGAATTTTCCTTCCTGGAGAAGAGGCCTGCTCCGGTCTTGGTCTTTCCCTGTTTCCGGGGTGACAGAAGATGGCTGCCTTTTCTGTCAGCAGATTGGACTTGTGAGAGCACCTGGGAGACAAAATGCAAACTTGACTTGCACTGCCTGCCCAGCTTGGCTGCCGTGTGGGAACTGTGCCCTGCCCCGCTGGGAGTGGCTGTGCCCTGCCCCGCTGGGCGTGGCTGTCCTCTGCCCCGCTGGGAGTGGCTGTGCCCGGCCCCGCTGGGAGTGGCTGTGCCCTGCCCCGCTGGGAGTGGCTGCCCTGCCCTGCTGGGAGTGGCTGTGCCCTGCCCCGCTGGGAGTGGCTGTGCTCTGCACAGATGTGGCAGGGCATGTAGGATCTGTCCTGTTGCTTCCTTTTTCCTGTCTGTATTTGACAAGAGCTAGTGTGACTGTCTTTTTTTTGTCTTTCCCTGCTCCAATGAAAAATATTAGTGTGTTTTTTTAAGGTTAATTCTCAAATTAGGAGTGTTTATTGTTTTAACATGTATGTTGTTACTTTCCAAATATGTAAGTATGAAAGCTCAAATTAATGATCACATTCAGCATGATGCTCAACTTGACTTATAAGTATTGCAGCGTCTTGGTTTATAGAGCAAACACAGGATCGCCGTGCAAAATGCATTAAAGGGACCACTGCCTGAAGCTTTTTAAATACAAGCATCTTTTATATGATAGAAATGTTGATCATTTATATCATTTTCCTCAAATGATTTCTGAAGTCTGCATCTTGTAAGAATGTCATGTCTTAGCATCTTAGGGACAGGACGGTGTTCCTGGTTGAATCTGTGCAGGTCAGTGTTTCATGACCACATTTCTGATTAGTGTGTCCGCATGCGATTGAAAGTGTTTTTAGATTCTTAATCATTGGGTTGCCAGTGATTGTAATACCGCATTTTAAATATGATCTGTGTCATAATTAGCCTTAATTGGAGTTGTTACGTTTTGATTGCTCTACTTGAAATAAATATATATTTGTCGCAGCACAGGCAGTAGTATCAGTGTGAACAGCGTTGTTGGCAAGTCCACAGTGATAACAGGGCTTGCACAAAACAAAACAAACTTTCTTTCTGCCCCACAGATGTATCTTGTGATATTTCCAGAGGGAACAAGATATAATCCAGAACAAAGCGAAGTCCTTTTAGCTAGTCAAACATTTGCTGCTCAGCAAGGTAAGTCATCATTGATTGAAGAGATTGTTTTTAAAGGTAACGCCTTTGTAGATTTTCTTCCTGGATGAAACATTTATGTTTTGTAACAAGTGACTTTCAGGAGTGTTACGTGTTTTCCTTAGGAAATAGAATGTCCTCTGTTATTCATTTCCATATTATATACATAACAATCCAGGCGCTTTCTTTGGTGCAAACCCAGTGCGTGGGTTCAGTTAAAACCTGTCTAAGTACACAGTTATGTGGGTGCAGCCTTTCCACGGTGTGGGTGGTGTATTTTAAAGTTCAAGCAGGCACGAGTTGCGACCTAAACTCTGACTTTCATTAGCTGTTTAGTTGCAAGGTGCCTAATGCTACCAAGCTTTGGTTTCCTCATATTTGAAGTTTGTTGTTGTTGCTGTATATGTGGATGTATGTGTCACACACCTGCTCACGGCAGATGTCACAAGTATGTGACCTCACTGACAGTGTTGCTGGTCGGCATATAAATGACATAAATGTTAAATTTCCTGCATTCACAGGAATGTGAATAGTGTGTAGTTGTTGGTGTCATCTCCTGCTCAGTCCGTCACCCCATCAGCCTATGCACACATTGGTAGTTGGCAATTGCTGGGTCAGTTGTGTCTCAAGCCCCGTCTCTTGCATACACTAATGGGTGCTATGGCGTAGCCCAACCCTGCCCATCACACACGCAGCCCTCACACACACCAGTGGGAACTGCAGCCTATTCTGAGCAATCAGCAGTTATCCTGATATAACTCCAACCAAGCCTACCCCCAGTCCTGGTTCCTGTGCTTGCCAGTATGTGCAGCAGACTGGTCTAGTCTGTCCCACATCCCATTCAGCTCCCTTATACATCAATGGGCATTGAAGCCTAGCTCAACCAGCTGACCCCACTATCCAGCCTACACTCATGCCTCCAGGTGTCACTTCCTGTCTAGCCAGGCCTGCCTTAGTCCCTGGTTCTCATGTTCACCAGTGGGAGTTGCAGCCCATCAGAGAGGGGCCTACAGTTTCCCTGTTGGACACAGTTGAACTTGCACTTTTCAGCTGGTTCTGCAGTCTAGGTTGACAGGACTTGCCCCTAGTCCCAGCACTTGGCAGTTGATGCTGTGGCAAAACAACTAACATGAACTTATTGTGACTCATGCGTGCACCGGTGGATACAGCTGGTCAGCCCAGCCTGTCTTTCCCCCAACCCAGTTCACATGCAAGTTAACAAGAGTTATGGCCTTGTGTGGCCTGCTCTGTACCAGTCCCTGTTCCAATTCTCAGGCTCACCTGTGGGGTCCTTGTCCCAGAGTGAGTTAATACACCTCCTGTTCTACCTGGAACAGTGGACCTGCCCATCTGGCCCACACCCGTTCTGATTCTCACTGTTGGGTGCTACACTGCAGCCACACCCGATCTATACCCAGACTACCTCTCACATGGTTCATCAGGTGCTGAGACCTTGTCCAGCCTGTCCTGCACCCACCCTGGTTCTTATGAGTACCAGTGCAGGCTAGAATCTAGAGCATGTGGCACACCCCAGACCCAGTGCACTTCCATACTGAGTGACACTGCAGTCATGTCCAGCCCAGATAGTTGCCCCCCATTCTAGTGCTTCTGCTCACGAATGGGAACCACAACCCACTTGAGGCATCCCAGCATCCCCTTAACTCTTCAGCTAGGCCTGTTTCCAGTGCCAGAACTTGCATGTGGCAGTGTTTGCTGTGACGTAGCTCAGTACAGCCCCAGGTCCAGTAACTAGTGTTCATGCCCTGTCTTGGCCTTTGCCATCGGGTGCTGTAACCTGTCCTGTCATAGCCCGCCCCCAGTCCCAGCTCTCACTGCGGGGTGCTGCAGCACAGCACTACCCAGCTTGCTCACATCCTTGGCTCATGTAAACCAGTTGGTGTGATAGCCTAGCCTGGCATGAGTCGCACTCCAGCCTGGCTGCTGTACATGCTAGTGGGCTGAGGTTGGCTTAGCCCTGCTCCATCTACCCCCCTCCAGAACCAACCCGCACACGTGCTGATGGGTGGAGCTTCCTTGCTGGGGCCAACCAACACCCAGGCCTGATGACATGCTCACATGCAGGAGCCACTTCCCACAGCGGGGTTTCCACTCCCAGACCCAGATCTCACAAGTGTCAGAGGTGCTAGGCCTTTACCTGTGGAGGCCTGCCCCTCTGTCCTGGCCTTTGTATGAGCTGGTGGATGTTATATCCCAGACCGCCTGGTACACCATTCTTGGGTGCACCTGTGGGTACTGCAGCCAGAGCCATTCGGCTGTTCCTAAACTCAGTATCCATGGGTATCATTTGGTTCCATGGTCAAGCCTAGTTCACCCTATCACCACCTCCAACTCTTAAACCAGCAGAAATCACAGTTCCACAAGTATGGGCCTAATTATCCTCTACAGAATCTGCCCCCAGACTTGGTTCTTTTGTGTGCTGTTTAAAGTCATGGTCCAGGCAAACTTACCCATCCTCTGTTCCAGCTCTCATTGGATGCTGTGATCCAACTCTGCGGTGTAGATTCCAAGCCCTCGCTATGGTGTGCATCAGTGAATTATAGTTGGCAGTGATCCACGCTAGCTCTTCCAGCTCAGGTCTCCGCGGTTGGTTGGTGTGTCAGTCTGATCCATAAAGATCTTCCAGCTTCCCCCTCCACTCTGCTTGGTCTCAGCTCCCTTGCTTATCTGCAAGTACAGTTGCCTTGTCATTGGAAGTTCCTGAAACGTCATTGCTCACCTGCGGCATTCCTCAGTGGTCTTCCCTCCCAACTATTTCCTTTCCCCGTTTCCTGACCAATCCACATTCCCCACGCCAGGGAGCGCATAGGTCCCCCAGCCCAGCCTTCCTAAGTCTAGTCTTCCCGTGGGCAGGTATGCTGGCCTGGAGCTCTGCCTGTCTACTTGAGTCCCAAGCTCATGGGACATCTGCTGACCTGGAACCTTACGCCTGTGCACATACAAGATCCAGGTCTGTTCAAACTTTCCCAAGCCCGGTTTACTGGTACAGCAGGCCAGCATGCTAACCTTGAGCTCTCCTCTCCCTTTCCTCTACCCTGCCTGTGACCAGGGACTTGGGAAATCCCCAGGCTTACTCCGCCTGCCTGGACATGAGCCCCCACTTCCTTGCACAACTCCGCTGACGTGCTCCCCCAGGTCCCCTCGAGCTGGCTGGTGTCATCCACCAGGTTCCCCTCCAGCCCACCGGTGTGATCCCCCAGGCTCCCTTCAAGCCTGCTACTGCAAAACGCCTAGCTGTTCTTTTTCTAGAGCTGGAAAATAAAACATGCAGAATATGGATTTAATATAGAGAATTAAATGCAGAAAAACATGTTGACAGTAATCTGAGCTGCTCTCAGTGGATTCCTCACGTGGAAGATTGTTAGAACTTGTTTTGTTTCCACGTTATTAATGGCTGTTTTTAAAGTGTATTTTTATTTTTATTTGAAAGTCCTGGAGAGAAAGAGAGATTTCTCTGTCTGCTGGTTCACTTCCCCAAATGCCCAAACAACTGGGGCAGGCCAGGCTGAAGCCAGGGGCCAGTTTGCATCTGCAGATGTGTGTCAGTGGCCCAAGAACTGAAGCCAGTGTCTTCTGTGTCCCAACATGTGCATTGTCATGAAGCCGAACCTTGATCCCACACTCCCATGTGAGATGTGTGTGCCCCACACAGTGGCTTGATTTGCTGCCCTATAATGGCTTTTCTGTTTAATTTTTATTTATTTGAGAGATGGGAGTGATTGCATCCTCTGAAATCCATCCTCTCCCCAAATGCCCCAGGGCAGCCTGGGCTGGGCTAATGCTGGATCTGGGAACTGGAACTCATCCAGGCCCACGGCTTGGTCACGAGACTCAACTGTGCTGTCATCTACCTCTCAGGGAACATCAGTGGGATGCTGGAAACAGACGTGGAACTGAAACTCAACCCAGGCACTTTCATAGGAGACCATTATCCTAACTGGCATATTAAATACTAGGCCACCTGCACATCCCTAATGGCCAGTTCTTAGATAAATGTCACGAAGTTGACTTTTCCAAACCCTCATTGTAACTCACTCGCTTCCCTACTTTCCTTACTCCTTCCTACCCTCCTCCTTTTGCCTCCTCTCCTCTGTTCTCCTTTCTCCTTTCTTTGCAGAAATATATTTGTATTTACTTCCTCATTAACTTAAATTCTGTAATTACTTGTTCATGTTGAACATCACACTTTGGACTTATTAATAATGTATGAGCTATAATGGTAAAGAAAGAAATGTTAACTGAATTGACAGATGTTTTTCAGCTTCTATACTGTTGAGATTTATGTTAGAACTTTATGAATAAATTAAACTGGACCTGCCCTGGGGACTTAAGTCTGATATGTGGTTGTGGGAATCTTTTTCTTTCCCACACCATCCAGCATTTAAAAAATTCTTTTATAGGACAGCCCCACCATATTATAGCTATTCTTCCCCATATTGCTGCTTTTCCCTGGAGAAGGGCAGCAAAAATCCAAATCAGGTTTGTGTTTTCTCGTTTTCATGTCATGTCTAGAGAGCTACTGTTTTCTGTCAAAATCAGCAGATCCTGTAATCAAGTCAGAGGGAGGTGGAAGGGACCAGGAGGGCGAGAGAGGCAGAAATTGCTGCCACCAAGAGAACTAGAGAATGTACAATGAGCTTTCCATACTGTTACAATGTTGTCTCAGTTTAGGAAGCTTTTACAAGTATTTTAAGATCCATTTAAGGATTGAAATAATAAGTTCGTGCAAAAATTTGTTCATTTGTACTACTCATGTAGGGTATGCCAATGTTCATGGCAGTGTGCTTCTTAGCTTCCGAAGCATGCTCAGGCAGACCAAATGCCTGTCAGCTGGTGAGAAGAGAAACAAAATGTGTCCTGTCCATCTGCACCTCTCCCTGTCCAACCACCCACTCTGAGTGGACCAAAGATTGAAATGTAAGACCTGAAATTATAAAACCACTGGGAAAATGCATAGAAATACTTGATAGAGGTGGTGACTTTTCAAATAAGACCTCAAAAACACAGGCAACTGAAGTGAAATTTGACAAAGGAGTAACAACAAGCTAAAAAGTTTTTCTGTGGCAAAGGAAACAGCAGCGTGAGGAGTAGCCTACACAATGGGAGGTTGTTTACAAACTGCCCAACAGAAGACTGAATATCCGGGATATCTAAGGAATTCAAAAACTTATCAACAAAAAACAAATAATCCTATTGAAACTGAGTAAATGGTGTGAACAGACAGTTCTGAAGAGAAAATACACCAGCCAGTGGAGTAATGAAAGAATTCTCAACATTCTTATTATAATAGTGAGGTGATATTCATCCCAGTTAGAATTGTAAAAAAGAGCCAAAATAACAGATGCTGGTGAGAATATGGAGAAAAGAAAGTGCATCTACTGTTGGTGGAAATGCAAATTAGCCCAGGTACTAGAGAGAATATGACGGAAGTTCTTCAAAAACTAAAAATAGATCTATAGTATCCACCTTTCCCACGCTTGTATTCCAAAGACGTTGAACTCGGCACACCAGAAAGATACCTGTCCATGTGTGTTTATTACTGCCGTTTACAGTTGCTAAGGTGGCCTTGGCTTGGATGCCCATCGGTAGATGAATAAAGAATACGATGTGTTTACATAGAAGACATTACTTGGCCGCAGAGTAGATGGGACTGGAAGGCATTGTGTGGATAAGTCAAATGCAAACAAATACTACATGTTTTCTATCATGTAGAAGCTAAAAAGAGAAAGTTGACCTGAGTGAATAGCAACAAGTGCCTGAGGTCTCGGGTGCGCAGGAGTGTGTGTGGATCTAGCAGATGAATTGAAGGTGCCAAACCCAGTTAACAGAGAAGGGATGAACGCTAACACTGCACAGCACTGGGGAATGTCTGGTACCCGGGAAGGTGAGAGAGGAGCTGGGAGGCTTTGCCGCCTGGAAGGGCTCCCCACGGGTTGTACAGTTCCTGATGGCTGGTTTTCTGACAGCTTTCCACAGTGTCTTGTATGTGGAGATGTTCAGTTAAAACGTGGTGTAAGAAGGATAAGGCAAGGGAGAGTGCTTTTTGCACTCCAAGCCCTGTGAAATTAGGGCGGTAGGTCTATTTCTAGAAATTTAACCAGGTCAGAAGTCAAATACATTGTTGATTTATGGCCACACTGACCAACTTCTTTTCTAGGTCTCCCAGTGTTAAAGCATGTGCTAACACCAAGAATAAAGGCAACTCATGTCGCGTTTGATTCTCTGAAGAATTACTTAGATGCAATTTATGATGTTACAGTGGTTTATGAGGGCAAGACTGATAAAGGGCAGCGGAAAGAATCGCCCTCCATGACCGGTGAGTCACCTTTCTGTGCACTGGCAGCTGTGTGCTCTGACACTGGCACCCCGACACCACATGTGGACTAAGACGTGGCACGTGCAGGAAGTGGGCTTTAGGAATGTCTGCTTGGCTTTTCTTTACATTGGCTTCATTTGTTTTTCATGATGTGCTTAATCTGTAACAGTTGAAATATAACTGGTTCTGCTAAGTTAGATATTTCTTGGCTGCTGTGTGAGTCTTTTGGAAGTCTTTAACCTGCCCAGGATTTACACACACACACACACACACACACACTCACACACTCACAGATGCTCCACAAACTACAGAAAAGAAGGAGTTAGACAGGGGAGAACCAAACCGAGGTGTGTGTTAAAGGTCGGTGCTAATCTTTAAATACACTTAAGCTATGTACGAGATTAGTGTGAGTTGACAAGGAGAGCATGTGACTTTCTTTTTTCAGACATCTACTGTGCTTTAAAGACGTTTGAGCTGTGGTCAGTGTTTGTCAGAAATAACAAGGGAAATATTCATTTGTTTATTTTCAAAGTCAGAAAGAATGAGCGATAGCTTCCATCGGTTGGTTCACTCCCAGTTGGCCACAAAGGCTGGGGCTGGGCCAGGACAAGGCCAGGAGCCAGGAGCTTCATCCGGGCCTCCCATGTGGGCGGCAGGGCCCAGAAGTGTGTGTTCTGCTGTTGCTTTTCCAGGCCGTGAGTAGGGATGGAGCAGATGTGGAGCAGCTGACACACGGTTGCTACCCGTATGTGATGGCAAAACTGCAGAAGGCGGCTTTATTGGTGAGGCCACCAAGCCGACCCCGAGAAAATTTCAAATAAGCAGAATGATGTGGTGTATTTTAATCAAAGACACTGTTGGCTTTTAGATAAATTTAAATCTGGGGGTAGGCAGACAAGGACGTGGAACATGGCTGTTTCCAGACTGTTCGCTTCAGCTGAGATGGGGAGAACAGTGGGTTTTATCTTTCTCCCGGCAGCTGTTTGGACCTGAGCCGACCAGCTCACCAGTGTGCTTGCATCAGAAGCATCTCTTGGAGGTTCAGCAGCGTGAACCGCCAGGAGTATAGACCTGTTCCCAAAGCGTCCCTGAGCTTGGTGTAGCTTGGAAATTGCATAGAATGATATTCTTACCTACAGTGCAACATTTTCAGAAATAAACATTTTATGTTAGCAAGGATTGCAAGGGTTTTATTGCAAGGCTTGTCTGGATATAATAGTGTGCACTGTGAAACAGCCCAGTGCTCCATCTGCTCTTCAGCTGCCAAGGGATTTTCCAAAGTGCAGTGTGAGTGTCGTTTTCCATTAATCTTTCTGTCACACAGTGCTCAGCTCCCCTGGGCTGGCCACCGTGCCCAGAGCCTCGCCGTGGTGACCACCTCCAAGTCCAGCGCCTCTGGGCAGCTTCTGTAAGTGGAAGGCTTGCTGGGCACTAGCCCTCTTTGCAGACAAATCCCTTCCCTTTGGTTGCCCTTGTCTCAGTCCCGTGTCCGTCAGGTGGTCCTCGGGGAAGGCTTCCCAGCTCCCAGCTCGCTCCCATGGTGCCAGGACACGCTGTGGTCACCGCACCGCGGCCATCCGCCCCACCGAGGTGCTCAGTGCCTTCAGAGAGCATCAGTGTGTTGGAGGTCTGTGCCTGCGTTCCACATCCAGCCCCTCTCCCGTTGTTCTCCATGTTCTCCAGGGCTTTGGAGCCTCCCAGCTGTGTCCATTGTAACTCATCTCTTTTTGAAAAGCTTCAGCTTCTTAACTGTAACATTTGAATGATATAGGAAATGAAATCTCATTCTGGCCAATTAAAGAGAAAAATATTTCCTCAAGGAAAAATATACCAGAGTAGAATCGAGACTGAAGACAAACTGGGAAAATGTTTGCGACTTGAATTACAGACAAGGGTTTGCTTTCCTTAAAGTGCTTCTACAGGTTGAAAAGAAAGTGGTTAGTTAACTCAAAAGAAAAATGAATAAAGGATTAGAAGACACAATTTACAGGAGAAGTTCAGTCTCATTCATGGTGAGACGAATGCAAACCAGAGCTATTACAGGGTGATACTTTATCGATTAAAGGGATCCCAATATTTCATAGCAGGCTTAATGGCTAAGATTACATTTAAAAGAATTTATTTGAAAATTAGAAGGCAAGGCCTTCCATTTTTTTTTAAAAGATTTATTTTTATTATTTTTTTATTGGAAAGGCGGATATACACAGAGAGGAGAGACAGAGAGGAAGATCTTCCGTCCATTGATTCACTCCCCAAGTGAGCGCAACGGGTCGATACTATGCCGATCCGAAGCCAGGAGCCTCTTCCGGGTCTCCCACGCGGGTGCAGGTTCCCAAAGCCTTGGGCCGTCCTCGGCTGCTTTCCCAGGCCACAGGCAGGGAGCTGGAAGGGAAGCGGGGCTGCCGGGATTAGAACCGGCGCCCATATGGGATCCCGGGCATGCAAGGCGAGGACCTTTAACCACTTGCGCCACCGCGCTGGGCCCAAGGCCTTCCATTTTTGAATTCACTCTCCCAAGTGGCCACAGTGGTGAGGGCTGGGCCAGCCCGAAGCCAGGAGCTTCATTCAGGAATCTCATGTTGGTGGCAGGGCCTGAACACTTAGACCATCCTGCACTGTCTTCCCCAGGCATTAGCGGGGAGCGGGATTGGAAGTAGAGCAGCTGGGACACAAAACCGTGTCAGTGTGGTTGCTGTCATAAACTTAAAAAAAAAAAAAAAGATTTTTTTGGGCCCAGTGGTCTAGTGGCTAAATCCTTGCCTTCCACATGTCAGGAACCCATATGGGTGCTGGTTTGTGTCCGGGTTGCTCTACTTCCCATCCAGCTCTCTGCTTCTGGCCAGGAAAACAGTAGAGAATGGCGCAAAGCCTGGGAAACCTGCAGCCACCTGGGAGACCAGCAAGCAGCTCCTGGAGTCTGGTTTCAGATTGGCTCAGCTCTGGTTGTTGTGGCTACCTGGGGAGTGAGCCAGTGGATGGAAAATATTTCTCTCTGTCTCTCCTCTCTGTAAATCTGCCTTTCCAACAAAAATCAGTAAATCTTTTTTTTTTTAAAGTTGGTTTATTTAAGGCAAAGTGACTAAGGAAGGGAGAGATGGAGATCTTCCGTCCCCAGCTTTATTTGTCATAGGGCCTCAGCATCCGGGGCTGGGTAAGGTCAGGGCCAGGAGGCAACAGCAGGATGCAAGCTGGCACTCTGAGCGGTGGAATGCCTGCCTGTTAAAATTGTGTTTGTAAAATCAGTGGTGTATCTTCATAAATCTTGTGCTTAAGGACAACATTTAATATTTTGCTAGCATTGTATATGATCCTAGTTTTTCATATTTCAAAAAACAAGACTACTTCAAAATGCTCCTATAAAATAGAATTCAAAAATAAGGATTTTTTTTTTTGTAGAAATATATGAAAGATGCACCCTTCAACATGTAGACATTGTAAAAAGATTAAAGGACAATATCCAGTTGTTAATTGGCGTCGTATTTAAGCAAATGAGTTTATAAAGTTTTTTGTTTTCCTTTGAGTTACTTGTAATTTTTTTCGACTACAAACCACTTCAGAAAACGTGTGCTCGCTTCGACAGTGCATACACTAAAATTGGAATTGTATGGAAATTAGCATGGTGCAGATACCCTGGAGTACTTACTCCGCCGTGGAAAATGAACAAAAGCTTGTCTTTTGCAAGTAAATGGATGCACAAGTTGGAAACCATTATACTTTGTGAAGTAAGCCAGTTCCCAAAAGACAAATATAGTCTATATCTCTGATCTGTGGCAGCTAATACCCAGCATATGAAACAATGTCACATTTAAATATAAAATTAACATTCTAGAATTGGATGGGGTTTTTTTTTTGGCCTATACTCTTGAGTAACAGATTTGCATTTTCTTTTATCTTTTACTTGCTGCGTCTTGATATCTTTACATGTTGGAATGTTAAGCTGATGATTGTAAAAAGAAAAGAAAATATGCCATTTTAATAATTAGTGAATGAGGGGGCGCCAATCAGATGGGGAATCATTAGCCAGCGTGAAGCAGAGAGGCAGTGATCCTGGGAAGTAGGAGAGGATGTTCCAGCATCAGCTACAGCTGAAGACCCGTGACATGGGGAAGCAGCAGAGACAGTGAGGGTGTGCAGTGGCCAGATACCCAGTGGCGATCAGCAGTCAGAACTCTACAAGTGGCCAGGCAGGATGGGGAGTTCGCTGGGAGCTCAGGAGCTGAGCCCAGGCGTAGAACTGCCCATCCTGCCTTGTGTTTAATTCAGCCAGTGTCAGAGTGCAGAGCCCAAGCAGAGACGTGCAGGAGCAGGGTAGATTTCGTGGCTCAGACCCCCACCAGCCACATAGGGTGCATTTTGTGTACTGAGGGAAAAAGGAACAACTGTGAGCTGCACATGCGCTAAGCTGGAGGAGAAGCCCTGTCCAGCTCAGCGCATTGCACTGGTCCCGTAGGGAATACCGTACAAATTTAGGATCCTATAGGTTCCACTCAAAATAGGTCCTGGTGGCCCCTAGGCCTAATGGACAGCAGTCTCACCCTCACCAGTGCCACGCCGGGTGCCTCACCAGTGCCACGCCGGGATCAGCTGTGGGGCTGAACAAACAACAGCAAGCTGCAGAGGCGCTGAGCCAGGAGAGAGTTCACTTCTCAAGGCATTGCACTCGTCTTACAGGGAAGGATACCAACTTGGAATCCTACAGGTTCCATCCAAAATACGTCCAGGTGGACCTCAGACCTAATAGTCAGCAGGTTCCAGCAAAACCAGTGCTGCTGACAGCCCAGTGATGTAGGATGGCTGATGTCTCCCTAATCCCAGTCACTGTTAAAACCAGGAGAGGGAGAAAGGCTGTGCAGGCAGTGGTGTGGCTACAGCACAGGATCACAGGGTGGGGGTGGTGAGCCAGCAGCTGGGGCTCCAGAGACCATGGTGGAAGCCTAGTACAAGAGCCCAGGACCGGAACTTGCTGGAGCGAGTGGCCAAAGTGATCGCAAGCGAAGAAC